AATAGTTGGAACAAGAATAATATATCTGGAAATGACATAGACAATTAAACAATATGAATCAAAATCATCACAACCTTCTGGAAGTACTTCTACTACAGCTTGTGTGACCTTTGTAAATACAAATACAACAGACAGCAAAAATAAATACAATAGACATTTTTAACAATGATTTTGCTGCCTGGGCCGTAGAGCATCAGATATCACATACTGCTTTTAATGCATTACTTAAAAGATTAAGACAACATTCTTGTTTTTCGAAATTATAAACTGATGCACGATCACTTCTAAAAACGCCAAAAACAAGAGAAACGTATAGTAAACCCAGGAATATATTACCATTTTGGGTTACTTAATTCTGTATTTAATATATTGACATCCACGAAAAATGATATCAATTGTGTAAAAGTTATTATAAATATTGATGGGTTACCACTAGCGAAATCATCAACACAACATTTTGGCCCTTATTAGGTTCGGTTGTTCCATAGGATAATGTTTTTATAATTTGAATTTATTATGGAGATGAAAAACCAGCCGATGTCTACGATTTTTTTAAAGATTTTGTTAATGAGGCTAAAGAAATGTGTGAAGATGGAATTTACTTTAATGGTCGTAACGTACAATGTAGAATTGAAGCTTTAGTATGTGACACACCAGCAAAAGCATCGTTCTCTGCGTGAAAGGACATGCGGGATATTCCAGTTGTACCAAGTGCACAACGGAAGGAGATTATATAAGAGGGCGATTATGTTTTCCAGAGACAAATGCACCACTTAGATCAGATAGTGATTTTATACAGAAAATTGATGATAGTTATCACAAGCCTGATATTACATGCAGCTTATTAGAAGTACCTTATTTCAAGCCTGTCACAAATGTCCCGTTGGATTACATGCACTTGGTATGTTTAGGAATTATGCGTAATTAATGTACCTATGGCTTCATGGAGATTACATTATTGACTACCACATAAAGCCGTTGAAGATGTATCTGTACGTTTGGTAACACAATTAAAACCATCAATACCAATAGAATTCGCAAGAAAACCACAAAAGCTAGATTATTTAATATTATGGAAAGCTACGGAATACAGATAATATTATTATATACAGGTCCAGCAGCATTCAAATCAATATTAAAGAAAAAAATATATAAAATCTCTCCTCCAATTTTAAAGTCGACCAGACTGGCAATAATTTATTTAAAAAATTTAGTTAAATTACAACGTTTCGGCTGTCATTGCAGCCCTTTTCAAGTAATCTATGAACAATTATATACATATAAATATAATCTTAATGCGCTTAATCATAGAAATAATTATAAATTTACAAAAATATATATGTTTACGTACCAGATTAATACAATAAATCAAATTTACAGCAAACCCCCGACAAAATTAACCATTGTTTTGATGAACAATGTATAACTGACAGAAGTGAGCACGAAAAAATAGATGTTGACTGTTAGCAGAAAACTTAGTCACTAACGCGTTGAGAAAATAGAAAACCAGAGTACTGTGTCTTTCGCAATTTTTAAAACGTCAATACAAAGTCAAATAAATAAATAAATAAATAAATAAATATGTAACATATGACAATATAATATATTAAATAGCTTCAAGAACGCGATCATAAATCCCACTGAAATTCTCCGTATCTTTTTGTAAATTAATGCTCTTTCTTTGGTTTTTTTATATAGAACATTTCTGCTATTTCTCTTTTTTCTTGTTTGTTTTTCTTGATGCAGAATCACAGGAGAATCCCAACGGAACTCATGATCGTTGCAAGTCCGATGCAAACTAACAACTGAGTGTGATGTCGTGTCTTTTTTGATGTTATTTTTATGTTCCTTAATACGTGTTTCTAAATGTCGCTTTGTTTGTCCAATATATGTAGAGTCACAGTTCGCGCATTCGATCTTATAAACGACATCGGTTCTTTTTAAGTTGTCAATACTATCTTTTCCTCTTTTTATCAATGTGTCTAATTTTTTAGGAACGGTATATAATACACCGATTCCATTTTTGTTTATGCAACGAGTAATATTTTCGCTCAAATCTCTAATATACGGCAACGCTATAGCATTTCGTGTATCAAATTTATCTCGATTAGACGCACCAAAATTACCGCCAAATTTAATTGCCCTAAGTCTCCTGTTAATAATTTTGTTTATGACTGTTGACGGGTAACAATTGTTACGAAGAATTCGTTTGACTAAGATGATGTTTTTCTCGTGAAACATAGGGTCCGCGAGTAAAATAGCCCTGTCCACGAGGCTTGTGATCACACTAATTTTATAACGCATCGGATGGTTCGAAAGAAAATTTATATAACGGCCTGAAAACGTAGGCTTACGGAACCAGTCAGTCGTCAATTTGCCATTAACTCGTATAACGTTTGTGTCTAAAAAACTTAAGGAACAATTGTTCTCCAATTCAAACGTAAACCTTAGTCGAGTGTGAAAGCTATTAAAAATCGTAAGCATATCCTCCACTTTACATTTCGGAATAATTGAAAAAATGTCATCAACATATCTGAAATAACAATAGGGCTCAAAATCCAATTGACGCAAACAATATGATTCCAAATCGTCCATAACCATATCAGACAAAATTGGAGACAAAGGAGACCCCATAGGCGAACCAAAAACCTGCTCGTAAAATTTTCCATCAAAAACAAAACTAGTCGAGCGCATAACCGTGTCAATAGCATGTAAAAACTGTGCCATGTTAAATGAAGTAAATTGTGAGATATCATCCCAACGATTTTCTATTGCTGCTTTTATTAATTCCCACGGTGTGTTAGTAAAAAGCGAAGTCACATCCAACGAAATCATGACATGATTGTCATCAATGTTTTATCCTTAATAATTTCAACAAAGGACCAACTATCCTTAATGTGAGATCGAGGTTTATTGACTGCATTTTGCAAAATCTCACTTAAATAAGATGCAATGTATAAACCGGACTTCCTAACGTTGAAATTATGATACGAAGAGGGTAACCTACTTTATGGATCTTAGGCAATGACAGCCGAAACGTTGTAATTTAACTAATTTTTTAAATAAATTATTGCCAGTCTGGTCGACTTTAAAATTGGAGGAGAGATTTTTATTATTTATTACTGGCGACTCTTAAGGATTATCATTTAAAAAAATATATATTAATTTTCTAACATTACACGTGATTATCAGAATCTTGTCTTCAAAAGATTTACATAAATATTTAAACTATGCGCAAGATTTGATTTTCTTTTTCATAAAAACATTTGAAGAATTATATGGCGTTCAGAACATATCACATAATAAATTAATACAAATTGTTGCTCGTATATTGAAAACAAAGTGATAAATATATAAGGCCAACTTATCGAGCTGAATATTCGAGATGTTCAGTCAACTACCATTTATTAAATGTATAAATTATCAAACTACAAACAATAATTATACTGAAGAAGACCGCGTGCGGTCGAAACGTTTGTAGAATGATTGTAAATTGCGTTAGTTTTAATATCTAATGACTGTAGTTTTATAATTTATACATTTAATAAATGGTAGTTGACTGAACATCTCGAATATTCAGCTAGATAAGTTGGCCTTATATTTATCACTTTGATATCACATAATGTTCATAATCTCGTGCATCTCGTAAACGATGTTAAAAAATTTCACTTGATAATTTTAGTGCTTTCAAATTTGAAAACCATATGTAAATATTAAAGAAATTAATTAGAAAATCAGAAAAACCTTTACAACAAGTCATACGGAGATGTATTGAAAAAGAAATCAACTCACATACAATATTATCATCAAATAAGAACGTAGATATTTGAGAATCGCCAGAGAGAATTCAAAAAAGGTAAAAATCTTCTCTCGACCGTACTGGCAAATATTATTTAGTCAATCACAACGTTTCGACCCTTCTTTGAGTCCTTATCAAGTGATCTAGATATACATAGACCGAGATTAGTACATTAAAAAAAATAAAATTACTTTACTAACAATATTACAAAATGATAAAAAGAAAAAGAAGCGAGACTTACTTGTAAAATTAAAAATAAAATTATAATTCTAAGATGTCAAGAACGAACATAGTGTCGGTTTGACAACACGTCAAGACTCTTAGACGAGTTATTGGAGACTAAACGACCTTTATTATTGTGTCGTAGATATTACTTAGATTGTCAGTATCCTTTTGTAAATTAATAGCGTTATTATTTCCCTTAATAAAGAACATTTCAGCGATTTCTCTTTTTCTTACGTGTTTTTCACTATGCAAGATAACAAGTGAAGTCCAGTCAAAATCGTGATCGAATTCAATTTTATGTTTGCTGATAACTGATAAATTACTCGAATGCATTTTGATGTTGCTGAAATGTTCCTTTACACGTGTACACAGATGTCTTTTTGTTTGTCCGATGTATGACACGTTGCAATCCCTACAATTAATTTTGTAAACCACTTCAGTTTTTTTATCTGTAGGCAGTCTATCCTTGCCGAGTGTGATCAAATGATTCGGCTTTTTAGGAACATTATGAACAACATTAAATCCGATATTTTTAAAAATTTGATTGATATCGCCTAAGCTATTAACATAAGGTAGTGAAATGAAAGGAGAATTATCAACAATATTTCGCTCATTACTCGATTCATTCATGTTTCTGTGTTTTAAAAAATTAATCCTTTTTTTAACCCAACGATCGATTACATGTTTAGGAAAGCAGTTATTAAACAAAATTTGTTTCACGATATTAATATTCTCGTCGTGAAACTGGCCATTAGATAAAAGAATCGCGTGATCTACAAGATTAAAGATTGTGTTCATTTTATATTTAAAAGGGTGGTTAGAAAAGAAATTTATATATCTGTTCGAACACGTTTCCTTCCTGTACCAATTTGTTACAAGCTTTCCACTTGACCGAGAGATCGTTATATTCAAAAAATTAAGACATTTTTGGAAAAGGAAGACTTATTCACAGTTCCTTGTTTATCTACAATGCTTGGAATTTATTGTGTACATTTACAATCAGAATTGAAATCATGGCCATTAAAAGATGTAATTAGAAAATATATAAAGTTACCATATCAAACATGACAAATATGCAGTTTTTCCACTCCTCCATGGTTATATATAATACATTTATTTATATACAGAATGGCACAAGAAAAATTTTATGCCGTTGTTGAATTTGAGGATGGGCTTCAAATTGTTCCAAATAATTGGTTGAATTCGAATTTAAACAAGGCTGTTTGGCCAAATTTCACTAACAACAAGCGTTACTATAAGGCTGTGAAATTTATGGAAAACCCAGAACCTACATGGATAGAACATCCAATTCGGAAAATATATGCAAAAGACAGTAAGCAATCATCATATTCTTTTTTTTAATATATATGCAATGATTTTAAAATATATGTATATAATTTCTTGCATACAACATGTGGAGAGAAAGAGAAAGAGAGAGAGAGAGAGAGAGAGAGAGAGAGAGAGTTGCCATCATTCAGAACGCGGTTTTATTGATAGCAATGTATGTAATTAGCATATAGTTCACGTTAACATTTATATTATAAAATTTCAAAACTATAAAATACTCTTATTTATTGATAAAAAGCGCGTTTTGAATATGCACTATAAATATTAAAATATATATAAATATATATAGAGTGTCTTAGAATAACCCTATCAATGCTTAAAGGCGGATTCTCTAACCAATTTGGAGATGATTTTCCTAGCATAAATGTTGAGAAATCAAGAATTTTCGAGTTATAAGCAATTGAAAAAAACGGATTTTTCACAAACTTTGTGGAGTTAAAAGGTTAACATAATTATATTCTTCAGTCAATTTCAGATGGAGTTTACTTTAATAAAATTTTAATTTAAGGTTTAGTTACAAAGAAACATAATGACAAAAATTGGAACTTTGCAAAAAATGATGACCTTGATCCGTCTTGAAGCATTGATACGATTATACTAAGACACCCTGTATAATATTAATAGATATTTTTAAATAATACAAGGAAGCAATTATTAACAAAATGTATATTATTTTTTTCAGCAAACTATGAATTAGCAAGAAGAAAATTAAAAGATGCTGAAGAACTATCAGATATCAATTCTGGCACTGACAAAGAGGAAGTATTAAAAAAAAACAAGAAAATATAGAGCTGCTAAGCAATTTGATGAAACTTCTATATTAAATAGTGATGATGAATGCGACAAAAATTCATTTATTTTGCAGCTTCCAAAAATGCCTGTTAGGCCTGTACATACCTCTAAAAAAATGAAAAAGGCAAAATTGTCACAGAAAGGTGAAAGCATAAAAAATTATATTAATAGTCAGAAGAATAATATTAAGAAAAAGAATAATATTAAGAAAAAGAATAATATTGAAAAAATTTTAATAATTAATAGTGCATAATTCTAATAATAATAAAATATTAGTTTAAAGCTGCAAATTTTAATTATGTAAAACAATAAAGAAAACTAACTTTTTTGTTTAGAATTAACAGTGAAACATAAAAACTCATAATCAACATTGGACAGATATGATTGCAACTACAATGTAAAAGGTATATATATGTTTACAAAGTAAAGAAGCAAGAAATATAAATTATGCATTTTATTATATTTTTCTTCTTTTTTTTATACTATTATATAACTGTAATTTAATATGATAAAATGGAACTTTAAATATATAAAAACCTAGCATATAATGTACATAATAATAAATGCATAATTTAAATAAATCAAATCTATTTTATATTATATGGCATTTGTAGATTTAATATAAAGAATTAAATAACTAAATTAAATACATAATATTTTTGGTTACAATATTAAAATTACATTTAAATATAGCAATAAAATAATTTTTTTAGATATACCTAAACCTAGTACATCTAAAAAGATACATGCAGATGATAAAGATGATGTAGATAATGACGTAAATGATGAAGATTATGTAGATGATGAAGATGATGTTAATGATGAGTCCGATATACTCTCGGAACAATTATATGGAACGAATCTAAATGAGGATAATGATGAGATAAAGGGAGAAGAAGTCATTCAAGTAAGGAACAATACCAAAGAGAAAAAATAAATATATACATATTGTACGATTAATTGAAAAAAAATAGATGAAATAAAACAATTAGTATATAAGGTTAAAAAATTTAAGTGCACAGAGCACCGGAGTTTCTTGGATATACCAAAACTAAACGCGATTTGCGATCTCGATTCGAGATTCTAACGAACAAACGAAACCTAACGAGTTTCGTTTGTTCATTAGAATCTCAAATTGAGATCGCGAATTGCGTTTAGTTTTTGTATATCTAAGAAACACCGGTGCCTTGTGTGCACATAAAATTAAGTTTCGTAAAAATCTTAAATTTCAACGAAACTCACGCACTACCAACCGCGTATAGTCTCTGTATTGTCTCGTTTTTTACATATTTTAACAAATAATTAGTTAGAATAAATTTTATATTAATGTACAAAGTAATTTTATATAGAATACTTTAAAAAATATTTTACAAATATATTCCACATTAATACATTGTTATACAAATATAATCTTTTGTAAAATTTTTATAACGCAACTTTTCATAATTTTAGATCAAACAATTGACTCATGTGACAAGTCAAGATGTAAAAACTTCTTCTTTACGGATAATGAAGAAATTATTTTCTAATGAATTAGCAGTGCAATACAGTTGGTATGGAGCAAAAAAAAAGAAATTTTTTCGCAGCTAAATATCTGCAAAATAATCATGTGTAAGTAATAAATAATAGAAAGTATTTATGAATATAAATTTATATTACTTGTATTTTTTGTATTACTGTTAAATTAATTAAAATTATTTTATAAGTTGAATAAAGATAATATTATTTACATACAAATATCATTTTAATAATATTTAATATTATTTATTTTATTTAATGAAGCAAAAGAAATATATAAAAGTTGAACATTTTTAAAGATTTTTTATAAAGTTTTATATTTTAATTATTCTAACAAATTAAATCTAAAATATATTTCTCTTCATTGTTATTAATAAAAATTATTTTTTAAAATGTCTTTTTAGGTGTAATAAGAAAAGTACACAAAAATGCTACAGACGAACAAATTTCTAATCCCATAAAAATATGGTTAGCACACGCAAACGCCTTGTTATATCCCTCAAAGATATAACTATTAAGAAATAGCTACTCGTGTTACATCCGCTTGACGACGGACACTGACTGCGTAAAAACGCATACGCTGCGAGATATGCGCGAAACGAAATTGCTCAACATGCAAACAAAGAAGAAGAACTTTGAATCTGCTTCGCTTGCACCTAGGTCCTTGACCAAAGAGGCCCGTTGCTAGGCACACCTTCCGATCAAGGAAATCCCAAAAAGCGATATTATAAAAAGGAAGCAGAGACGCGCCGAATCGCTCAGTCGCAGTCGCAATAAGTCGCTCTCAAGACGCTCTCGCGTCGTTAGTTAAACGACCTCGCTAGCCGCGTGCGATATATAACATCCCTTCGCAGTCGCGCGCAATACGCGAAGTTATAGTTAAACAGTGTCGTTAAACCAATACACGCACAAGTGTAACAGTGGTGAAACAAATAAAAGTCAAGTGGTTTACTTAAATAAAAGTTTTAATAATAAAAAGTGGAGTGCGTTTATTTCAACAACCCGAAATAAGTCCCGACGCCCCGGATCCTCATCCTAATTTGGCGCGACCCCTTGTGTCTCACCCGAGGCACACAACAGCCTACAAAAGCAAATACCGATAAATATTTAATGTTTGTCTTTATATACATATTTATATATTTAATACAATAATTATTAGTCTTCCGCACACAACTTTTCTGGTAATGTTCCAATAGATAGTTTAATGATTTTTGGCTAATAATTGCTGATCTTTTGCGTTATATAACTCTGCGTTAATAACTCTGTTTTAGCAATATGGTACAAACTGATGTACAATGTTGATAGCAATTTGTGTTAAATTAACTTTTTTTTATTTTCAATTTTAAGTTCTTTTGTTACAAATATAAATTTTATTTTTCCAAATGATTATATTCATTTTTTTTTGTTTTTTTGATTAATATTTTATTTTAGTTTTATTTTAATATTTCAAATATACAAGGTGTGCGCAACGGAAAGCAGGATAAGGAGGTCGGAAGCGAAAAGACAGAGAAGCACTGCACTCGACACACGCGTATCGTTAACAAAATATATTTAAACTATTAACACAAAAATACAATTATTTAAACCGCACAGAATGTACCAAAAGATAGCCGAGTCGAACGTATTAGAAAGTACAATAACCGAGAGAAAAGCCGTGTTGAAAATAAAGTACTGAGTGTCCGCAAGCAACGGTAATTAAACGTGAAAAAGACAAGCGATCTTTTTCGTAAAGTAGAAGCACACTCTTGACGCGACAAGCAATCGGAAAAGAGCGCCGCGGTCACGAGAAAGGAGGTTTATATAGGCCTGTATTTCTAGAATATTCGCGAACATTTTTTTTATTCTATCGTTCGGTTGAGGGCGAAAGAGCGTTTACTGTAATTATTTTCTTTCCAGCAAATCGTAGTTTTGTTATTATTGGGAACTAAATTGTATCTCCTCTCGCGCGACCGCGGTGTTTACAATTTAATGTGTTTTAATGTAAGCGCTTATTTTTCGTAGGCGCGGGGTATACTTATAACTTTGCGGCCGAGCGCTATTTATAATATGAAACGTCAGCATGTTAAGATAGAAATTGATAGACTGTATTATAATATAAATTATACGCATGCTGCATGTGAAATGAGAGTACGGCATGAATTTGCATGTAATGTTTTCATTGTTTTTAATTGTTTTAATTCTTTCAGCTTTTTTAGACGTTCGATTTTCGAACATTCCGCCCGCCTTGCAGTATACCTGCAATCGACTTTGTAGTGCGAGAGTGGGGGCGCGCGCTTATTCACGCGCTCGCGAGTGACAGACACGTGTAGCTCACGTGCTCTGACTGATGTCGCGAAAGGAATGCTGAATCGATCAACTGTTTATTTCGAACGTGACGGTATAGACGCATATTGGTTAACGCGTCGCGAAGACCGTGACAATTTTGGTATTCGGATCTCTCGTGAATTATAATGATACAAATAGTGTAATAATGAGGATAGTGCAGTGATAAAGGAGATAACAGTAGGTCGGTGTAATATAAGTGGAGTGACGATGAAGAGGAATGAATAGAGCAGTGACAAAGAAAAGATGATTTTTGTGCTGCAATGAGAAAAGAGTGAGACTTATAACGCTGAATTATTGTGCAGTTTCGTTGCCGTCGCCCAGAAAAATCAGTTTGCTGACGGGGCGCGTTAAATTCGTACTCGCGGTACGGATTTCGACTACGCGCACGTGGCCGTCGGATCCGGGGTGCAATCGAGTGATTTGCGCAAGCGGCCACCGCGTTGGTGAAGTGTTTTCGCTGCGGAGCAAACACAGCCGACCGACGCGAGTCTCCTAATTGACTCGAGACTATTTTGACCGATGGGCCAGCGTGTGTAAGTATTCGCTGGCCCACCGGGACCAGAAATGGTCCCTCATCTGTTGCAGAAGCTGCCAGCGTAAAAGCCGGGCCGACGGCTCTCGTTCGAGCGACGGTTCAGGTATGGCAGAGAGAGCGGAACCGATCAGGAAGTGACCTGGGGTAAGAGCTGCTACGTCCTCTGGGTCGTCGGACAAGGGCTGAGAGATCGAGAATTGAGGCAAGCTTCTATCTGAGAGAGCAGCGTCGCCAGCTCCTCACAGATGAGGGTTGCATCACCTATGATTCGTCGCAGATGATGCTTCATAGATTTGACGGCGGCTTCCCACAAGCCGCCGAAGTTCGGTGCCGTCGGTGGATTGAAGTGCCACCGGATTTTCTCTTGTGCGGCGAATGCGGCGATGCGATGTCCGTCGGCACTGGCGGCGGAGAAGAGAGCGCCAAGCTGCCTGTCAGCACCCACGAAATTGGTACCGCAGTCACTATACAAGGAGGCGCAGACACCTCGCCTGGAGATGAGTCGGCGCAAGGCGGCTATGAAGGCGTCGGCGGAGTAGTCCGAGGCTGCGTCGAGGTGAACGGCTTTGGAAGCTAAACAGACAAAGACTACAATGAACCCTTTAGTTGCTTTGTGTCCGCGGCCCTTCGACGTTCGCAGCCAAACAGGTCCGGCGTAGTCGACGCCGGTGTGCAAAAACGGCCTGCTTGGCGTGACCCTTGGCACCAGAAGATCGCCCATGAGAAGCTGTGGGATGGCGGCTCGCCATTTTGTGCACCTACTGCATCGGTTGATGTGTCTTTTCACCAGCGAGCGACCTCGAGGGACCCAATACTCCTGGCGCAGGGAGCACAAGGTCAGCTGAGTCCCGCTGTGTAACGTCCGCTGGTGGTGGTCGTCGATGACGAGGTGAGTGTATGTTGACTCGCTGGGCAGTATTGGCGGATGAGTGGCATTGTACTGCAGGTGAGCATTTCTGAGGCGCCCGCCGACGCGTAGAAGTCCCTCGCAGTCTAGGAAAGGATTTAGTTTGTGCAGGGAGCTTCGCGACGGCAGAGGCGTTCCATTGCGCAGCCTTCTAATCTCGTCTTTAACTGTTCTAGCCTGGATCAACCTCACCCAGGAGATGCGGGCTTCCGTCAGTTCGTCGACGCTGATCACGCTAGGCTGACTTTGCGCATGGCGGAGCTGGCGATGGATCAGCAACCAGCGACGGCACCATGCAGTGATCCGCAGCAGTCGTTTCAGCGAAGAGTAGCAAAGCAGCAATTTCGATTCGGGCTTCGGCTCGGCAACGGCGGCGACGTGAGCACGGACTCGTCTCTCTGGGAGGTCCTCTGCTGACATCTCCTCGCTGTTGGTCGTTCAAGGACTGCTCTCCGTTGCTAGCCATACGGGACCTTGCCACCAGAGCGGGTGGTCAACCAGCTCGCTAGGATAGAGCCCCCGGGAAACACAGTCCGCTGGGTTTTCCCGACCTGGTACGTGATGCCAGTGGGTCCAGGATCAGTGTTTGTATTTTGCTGACCTGGTTGGCCACATAGATGGCCCACGTCGAAGGATGCCCACAGATCCAGCCGAGCGTGACGGTGGAATCAGACCACATATGAAGAGGTGCCTTGTCTGCTCCGATGATCGGTATGGTGTGGGTGGCTAGACGAGCCAGAAGAGTGGCGGCAGACAGCTCCAGCCGAGGTAAGGAGACTTGCTTCAAGGGCGCGACCTTGGTTTTCGCAGCTAAGAGAGCTACCTTAGTAATATCCTTTGTTTTGGTCTTTAGGTATAGCACAGCTGAGTAGGCACGCCCTGAGGCATCGGCGAACGTGGATCTCCCGTTGTGAGTCAGCCAAGCCTCCCACCCATCGAGGTACGAGCAAGTTTTCCAGAGCAGGCAGCTCGCTCTGGAATTGTAGCCATCTCCTCTCTTCGTCGATTGGCAGCGAAGCGTCCCAATCGAGGTCTAGCAACCAGGTGGACTGGATGAAGATCTTAGCCAGTACTGTTATTGGGGACAGCCAGCCGAGAGGGTCTAACATCTTTGCTGTCAGTGAAAGTACCGACCTTTTGGTGATGGTCGATAGATTGATCCGTTTGGTGGCGAAGGCGAAGCGATCGTCCCGGGTTGCCAGCGTAACCCGAGAGTGGAGTGACTCTCGCCGGGCAGCCACCATCTGGCCTTTTGTTGAAGGCGGTCGTCGGGCCCCACTTGGTTCAGCAGTAGCGAGTGGTTTGCCGACCACTTCTTAAGCGAGAAGCCGCCCGCCTTGCAGATATTAATCAGCTGTTGTAGCATGACTTCGGCTTCTTTCATGGTCTCCGCACCGGTCAGGATGTCGTCCATGTAGACGTCGCTCAGCAGAATGATGGCTCCTTTCGGGTAACGATGTCCTTCGTCCTCGGCCAGTTGGCGTAAAGTGCGGATTGCCAGATAAGGAGCACAGGATAGACCGTAAGTAACAGTATCCAGCCAGTACTCCTTGATTTCGTTGTTAGCGTTCTTTCTCCACAATATTCTTTGCAGGCTTTGGTCGTCAGGGTGCACCAGGATCTGCCTATACATCTTCTCAATGTCGGTCATGAAGACGTAGCGATGACGTCGCCAACGCAGCAGGATGTCGGTCAGTGAAGGAAGCAAATTCGGTCCCTTTGCGAGATATTTGTTGAGGGAGTCTCTGTTTGGCAAGGAGCTCGAGCCGTTGAAGACGACCCTCAGTTTTGTGGATGTGTTGTCCGGACGCAAAACCCCGTGGTGCGGCAGGTAGCAAACACCCGGATGCGATTCCGTCGACGAAGGAGCAGGCATCATGTGGCGCAGGTCCAAGTATTGTCGCATGAATTCCGCGTACATGGTTCGAAATTCGCTGTCTCTCTCAAATTTCTTCTCCGTGTGTTGCAGAGTACGGCGGGCGGAGCGAACTGTTCCTGCTAGGTCCGGCAGAGGCTCAATCGTGGGCAGACGCACAATGTACCAGCCGTCGGCAGTGCGTGAATGGTGCAGGCAATAGTGCTCTTCGCACTTTAGTTCGGCCTTAGAGAAGAGCTGAGACGGCCGGCGAACTTCTTCTTGTTCCCAGAAGCGACGCACCAAACAGGTGAGGTCTTCCTCTACCTGGCAATGGTGAGAGGAAATACGTTGGCCGCGTGCATTCTCATTGATGATGCCTGACAGTATCCATCCTAGAGAGGTCTGTTGTGCCACCGGTTCCTGAGAACTTCCCTTTTTCAGGCCCTGGCAGATGATTACTCCGTAGACGTCGGCACCCAGCAGAAGGTCTATTGGATCCGCGGAACTGAACTCTGGATCGGCGAGCTCCAGGTCCTTTAGATGTCCCCCCCCCCGTCGACCATCACTTTGCCGTGGTGGGGGGCTCACCCTTTGCAAGGGAATAGCCTTGCGAAGGGTGCCAAGAGTGGTCGGTACCTCCTGTGGAGGTACACCTCATGGCAGCGGGCGGCTGCCAAAAGGGCTTAGGCCCACCGCCCTAGGGGAGTCCACCTCGAAAAGAAAACAAAAATATGGAAGGGAAAACAAAAATAAAGGAGGTACAGGTCCAGGCAGCCTCGGATATGTCAGGACCCGACGGGAAGGGGGGTATAGTCCCGGTCCCCACCGCGTCGTCATCACACGACGGGCGGACGACAGAGCTGCAAAGGCTTTGGAGGATTCGTATGGGTCCTCTGACTTTTACGAGTCGGAGGATTCATGCGAATCGGAGGAAGAAGAAGAGGCTGGTGGCATGCGAATATCACGCATGCTCCGCTGGTGCGACAGGGACTGCTCTAGGGTCATCCATCGAATTGTCGTGAAGCAGGAAGACATAGAGGAGGAGGAGACAGTGGAATTGCTCTACGAGGATCTGTCCAAGTGGAAAGCCCATCTGACCAGGGCGAGGAAGTACATAGTCCTCGTGGAGCAAAGAGTGGAGGAAATGGAACGGGATAACCTAGCCCTGAGGAATGCATATAAGCACCTGAAGGGCAGCTCCACTCGGGTAAGGAAAAAAGATATTGGCTTGGACCCCTGGTTGCCGACCACCAGTACCAGGGGTACCAACACAGAGGGAGCGGGCCTTGCAAGAGCAAACAGGGCAGAGCCTCCTCTCTCATGGGCGAAAGAGCTGCAGGAGGAGATGAAGGACCTGCGGTGCGCCATGAGGGAGAAGATGGACAGGAATTCTCGGTGGAGAGACTACCTCTCCGACAGGGCGGGAGAGAAACTCCTGCAAGCTGGAGGAGAGAAAGGGAGGAAAGACGATGCGGACGGAAGAGGGGCAGGAGGGGTGAAGAGCACGGTGAGGGCAGCTCGGACCCCGAATGCTCCGAAGGGGAGGAAAGGGGGTTGGGGGGAGGAGAATGATGAAGGAGTAGAGGCCTCTCCAACCCTCGACACCTTGCCACCGGGCTTGGAGGTGGAGACCGAAGTCCGGGGGGAGGCATGGTCCAGGGTCGTCGGTCGCCGCAGGCGGAAAGGGGCGACAACAACGGCGCCAGAAAGACCTGTGACCGAAACCGACGGGAGAGAGGAGGGAGGTGCAGCCGAGGTGTTACCGGTGCCTGTGTCCTGGACACATGTGGCGGCGGTGCACTTCGGCCGTGGACAGGAGTTCTGTCGCTTGCTGTCGCTGCGGGGCTCCTGGCCACATCGCACGGGCCTGCCGCGCCGGCCCGCGCTGTCCACTTTGTGTGGATCTGCGCCGGCCGGCGGGGCATGACCTGGGAGAGCAGGAGTGCTGCAGGGCACCTCCGACGGGGTCGAGGGGCGGGGGCGTGCCTCCCCTTTCCCGGCCGTCGGCAGCCGTACCCAGAGGTGCGGCTGTTTGCGGCGGCGGGGATCGGGGGAGGGGCGCCCAGAAAATCCCGGCGTCAACGTTTGACGCCGAATGAGGGTGTCGGGGGGGAGGTGTGCGGGCATAGGCTCGCACTCTGCCCCCCGGCAGCCTCTTGAGGGGGGGAGCGGTCGCGCTCCCCGCGCTTAGGCGCGGGATGGGCGATCGTCCTCCCAGAGGAGGAGCCCCCCCCCTGGTTGCGGCCAAATCCTAACTCCTACGGGAGCGGAGGGAGCCGCAACTGGGGGGGGGGCGAGGGGAGGCTACGTGTCCCTGGCGGGCGGGCATTGCCCTCCCGCCCGGGGTGCCTGGGCCCCTCTCAAGGACGGAGACGTGACGTGTGGGGCCCTCTCACCGGGAGTCATAAGGCACCGGTGGGAGGGCAACACCGTCTACGGAAGGGGGTTTCTCTCCTTCTGAGAGGAGCCTCCTGATGAGGGCCCCCTCAGTAAATCGCCGAACCGGACCACCCTGTTGGGGGTCTGGGGGTTGCGACACTGGGAGGGCGAGGGGCGATGGCTCGAGCGGGAGTTCTCGAGCCATGGCTCCGCCCCTCAAACTCTTTGAGAAGGCGCGGCGTGGGGTCGATGTCGCCCTGCGCCGCAACCGCGAGGAATCCGTACAATGACGGGGGGAGGGTGTCGCCTTCCGCGGCATCCTTCCAAGGAGGGATAAGGCGGGGGGGCGGCCAGTCGGCATGGGATACCAGCATCCTGGCCGTCCCCTGTATAACGCCCGTGAAGGACATTCTTTGGGGTTTTAGTGCGGTAGGTCCTGTCCCGGCTCTCCGGCTCGCCGATCCCGACTCTCCGGCCCGCTACGGCGGACCGGCCAGGCGGATGTGCGGGCCGGCCAGACGGGGCAGGGAGTCCCACATAACCCCCGCCTCTACCCGGAGGCGGATGGTACCATGAGGTTTCCCCAGAGTCAAAAAAAAAAAGGGTCCTTTAGATGTGTCCAGGATTGCAGACTTCGGCGGCATCCTTTGGAGAAAAGCATGAGTTTTGGCAAGATCAAGGCGGCGACGGAGTTGGACGACTTACCGTTGTGCGCTCGAAAGGTAAGCTTTACCTTGCCTTTGGCAATTTCCGTCCGTTTCTCGCCGAGTCCATAGACGCTGACGGCGGCGGGCATGCGAAGCAGTCGCAGTCGCTGAACCAACCGCTCCGTTATGATGGACGACTCTGAGCCCTGGTCGATCAGCGCTCGGACGGAATGCCAGAATCCGTGGCAATCGAGGACGCGGACTCGAGCAGTGGCGAGCAGCACCGTGACAGAGGCGGGGTGCGATCCTTGAGCCACATGTGATGTCGTGGCGGTCTCGGCGTCGCGGAAGGCATCGTGCAGCGAAGAGTGATGCCGACTGCCACACGTGGTGCAAGTCTTTTTTTGACGCGCACTCAGTTAGCTGGTGTCGACCTAGGCAGTTCGAACAGAGGTTTTGATTGCTGACAAACTGTCTGCGAGCCAGAGCCGTCTTCTCTTTGTAGGTGCCACAAAACATAATAAAGTGGTCGCCCTGGCATACGGCGCACCGGCTTCTTGACTTATCCTTTGGTTCCGTTTTCTTCGCGTGATGGCTCCGTGTCGATTTTGCATTGATGTGGCTGCGGCTGTCGCTCTTGGCCGGAAACAGCGCCTCCAAAGTATGAAGCCGTCGCTCGATAAAGGCTTCCAGCTCGGCGTAGGTAGGCGGATTCGTCGTATGACTGATGTCGCTCTCCCATTCTCAACGCGAACGATTGTCGAGAAGCTCAATGACTAGATGCACAAAGAGGTCCTCCGTGCGATCGATGGGACGATCGATGCTCTTCAGCGAGCTGACTGTGGTTTTTATGCTGTGGAAGAGTCGCCCCAATTCAGTTGCGGATTTGCTCTTCATTTTAGTAAGCGCCAGGAAGTTGTTAAGATAGTTGCGTGTTAACAATCTTTTATTTTCGTAAAAATCGCTCAGCGTCTTCTAAGCGATTTCGTAATTTTCGTCAGTAGTGCTGAGGTTACATATGAGTAGGTCAGCATCACCCTTGACACAGAGTTTGAGATAATGTAATTTCTCAACAGGTCTGGCTGCCTGGTTCCTGCCAATGATAGACTGGAAGAGTCTCGAAAGGAAGGCCAGTCTTCGTACTTCCCGGCGAAGGTCGGCGGCTGAATTTTTGGCAATGCGGTTCGAGGAGCGGCGGCCGGTGTCGCTGCCGAAATTGAGCTGGATGTCTGATCTTATCGTTGGAGAGCGCTCTTTAGATCGAGCATGAGGCCCTTGTTCTGAAGGTAAGCCTCCTTGCCCAATGAAGGGATGTCTTGCTTGGCGTAGACATCGTGTCGTATCTCTTCAACACGATCAGCTAACGCATCATTAATTGCGTCAAATTTCTTCCACAGCTTCTCGAGATTTTGAAGCCGAGCCTCCACCGCGCCAAGTGTGATATTGGCCTTGCCGAGCTTTCGAAGATTCTCGTACGCGCGCGAGATCTTGCCGTATAGCACTGTGGCGGTAGCAATGATTGCCTTTGTGTCTCCCATCTCTGACACTGTCTCTTTTTTCCAGAAACACTGGTCACCGACACTGATTCACTATCGCTTCCGTGGCACCGGATTCACAGAAGGTTCTAGTGGATCCGGCTCGAAGGACCAAATAATGTGCGCGACAAAAAGCAGGATAGGGAGGTCGGAAGCGAGAAGACAGAGAAGCACTGCACTCGACACACGCGTATCGTTAACAAAATATATTTAAACTATTAACACAAAAATACAATTATTTAAATATATATATTTTATAAATTAAACTTCGGCTCGTATACAATTAAAATATGTAATATAATAAAAGGCCAACTTAACGAGCTTATAAGATATTAATTCAAAAATTTTTATTATTAAATAGTGTTAACAGAGAAAATAGTGTTAACTCTCAAAACAATAAATATATTAATAACCACATTAACGCAACAAATTTTATAAACAGAACTATTAATCCATTAGAACAAACCAATGATAAATGGTTTATTAATTTGACTGATGTAGAGATTCCAACTGATGTCACAAATTTGTTGCAATTAGGTAGTGATTTTAGTCTTCCTATTAATACTGATAAAAAAACAGCTGTCCATGAATTTATTAAAGACATAGAAAGCAATTCGAATAACATAACTAATCTCACGACAATAAGAAACATAGCTATTCCACAGTTCTTTGTTTTTTTAAATAACAATACTAGGACAGACATAATAAATAACAAACTTACTTTTATGTATAAAAAAACTATGACATTTTGTAAACAAAATCCTAGCATCATTTTCACAAGAGCAGACAAGGGAAACACGACCGTAGCGATGACCAAAGAATTTTATATAGACAAAGTTGAAGAATTATTAAATGACAAAGATAATTATATGACAAGCAAAAACAATTCAATAATAAAAATAGAAAAAGATCTTAATAAAAATTTAAAACAATGGTTAAAAAACGAATAGATCACAAAAAAAGACTATTATTGTTTAAGTTCCAGTGATTCAGTGCTTCCTAAAGCATATGGCTTGCCCAAAATTCACAAGGAAAATATTCCATTCAGGGTAATAGTATCGTCGGTCAATACAGCACTACATCATTTAGCTGCATAT